TTCACAGCAACCTCAAACTCTAGGGCTCACGTGATGCTCCTGCCTGAGCTTCCCAAGAAACTGGGACTACAGGCACCCACCATAAGGCCCAGCTAATTTTTTTTATTTTTAGTAGAGACAGGGTCTCATTTTTGCTCCCCCTGGTCTTGAACTCCTGAGCTCAAGCAATCTACTTGCCCCAGCCTCCCAGAGAGCTACAGGCTTGAGCTACTGCACTGGCCTTCTCTGTGCTTTCTAAAAGAAACTTGAATCAGAAAAATGTATTAAATCAAGCCTGTATTCCTAGCACTTTGGGAGACTGAGGCAGATGGATTGCTTGTGCTCAGGAGTTCAAGACCAGCCTAAGCAAGAGCAAACCCTGTATCTACTTTAAAAACAAACAGACAACAACAAAACACTAGCCAAGCATTGTTGTCAGGCATCCGTAGTCCCAGCTACTTGAGACGCTGAGGCTAGAGGATCACTTGAGCCCAAGAGTTTGAGGTTGCTATGAGCTCTGTCGCCCCAGCATTCTGCCCAGATGACAGAGTGGGACTCTGTCTCTAAGAAGGTTATTAAAGAACAAATGGGTTAGCTTTCATGAAGCAAGAAGTTTTTAAATCAAGAAGTTTAGGCTGGGCTTGGTGGCTCATGCCTGTAATCCTAGCACTCTGAAAAGCTGAGGTGGGTTGATCACCTGAGCTCAGGAGTTTAAGACCAGCCTGAGCAAAGCGAGACCCCATTTCTACTAAAAATAGAAAGACTCATGTGGCTTTATGGCAGGCGCCTGTAGTCCTAGCTACTTGGGAGGCTGGGACAAGACTATTGCTTGGTCTAAGAATTTGAGGTTGCTGTGAGTTATGAGGCCATGACACTACTACTCATGGCAACAGAGTGAGACTCTGTCTCCAAAAAAATAAAAAGAAGTTTGGGGCAGCGCCTGTGGCTCAGAGGAGTAGGGCACTGGCCCCATATGCTGGAGGTGGTGGGTTCAAACCCAGCCCCAGCCAAAAACTGCAAAAAAAAAAAAAAAAGTTTGCATAATATCCCTTATAGTCCTATCTGTATGGAGTTCAAGAGGGCTACAGATTTATATTTCAAAATTATTCTTGAAGGCTGGGTGTGGTGGCTCATACTTGTAATACTAGCACTCTGGGAAGCCAGGGTGGGTGGATTGCTTGAGCTCAGGAGTTCAAGACCAGCTTGAGCAAGAGGTAGACCCCAGCTCTACTGAAAATAGAAAAACTAGCTGGCATTGTGGCAGGCACCTATAATCCCAGCAGCTTGGGAAGCTGACTCAAAGAGTCAGAACTCTTGTTTAAGCCCAAGAGTTTAAGGCTGATACCTCCACATTTTACCGAGGGCCATAGAATGAGACTCTGTCTCAAAAAAAAAAAAATTATTCTTGGATAATAACTATATTACTTTCATTAATTATTGTTTATTTGAAATGTTCATGTTTATTAGTTTCCCTATTCTCTGAAATAAAATTATTTTGTTATATTTAATCATTTTCTTTTTTAAAAAATATGAGGGTATATACAATTAGGCCACCTTGCTTGGATTTGTAAGGAAAAGTCTAAGTTGTGGCTATGTCCCTGACACAGGAAGTGTGCCATACACTTACACATTGTTTCCTCTGGGAGAGAACCTACCAGCCCTCCTTCCTATCTCTCCTCCCGCCTTTTTGGATTGACTTGAGTTTTTCTCTCATGTGAACATGTTGTTAATCTACAAGTTTCATATTAGTATCGAATACATGTGATGTCTTTCCATTCTTGTGATACTTTGCTCAGGAGCGTGTTCTCCAGATCCATCCAAATTGTAGCAAAGGACTCAAAATCTCTGTCTTTTTATGGCTAAAGAATATTCCACGGTATATACATATATACACCACAGTTTATTGATCCATTCATGGGAAGGGCACTTGGGTTGTTTCTACATCTTCACAATTATAAACTGGAATGCTATAAACACTTGCGTGCATAGCTCCTTATGTTGAAATGACTTTATCCTTTTGGATAGATACCTTGTAATGGGCTTGCAGGATTGAATGGAAGGTCTACTTTTAGTTCTTTGAGGACCCTCAGTACTTCTTTCTATAAAGGCTATAGTAGTTTGCAGTTCTACCAACAATGCAGGAGTGTTCCCTTCTCTCCACACCTACACCTGCATCTATTATTTTGGGACCTTGTGATGTGGACCATTCTTACAGGAGTTTGGTGATATCTTAAAGTGGTTTTGATTTACATTTCTTGAATAGAGAGGATAAGCATTTTTTCATGATATTATTGGCCATTCATCTGTCCTCATGAGAAAAGATTCTGTTCATATCTCTTGCTCAGATTTTAATGGAGTTTGCTCTTTTTGTCAATTTACGTGAGTTCTTTATACTTTCTAGTTATTAGCCATTTGTCAGATTCATAGCACGCAAAAATCTTCTCCTATCCTTAAGGTTGTCTCTTTGCTTTGTTGATTGTGTTGTTAGCTGTGCAGAAACTTTTTAATTTGATTAGGTCCTATTTATTTTCTAATAGCTCATCTTGCAGTGGGCCTTAGAAGCATTTGTATTTTATCAATGCAATTGCTGTTGTTGCTGATCTGTGGTTACCATTTATTCTGAGATCAAGTTCCTAGACTAAATTTGTCTTACTGAAGTTGATCATCTCAACTCTTTTGGTCCTGGTATAAATCATTCATTTTCCTTAGCCTGTTTTTCTGTCTCACCAGAGAATGAGCCCAGTGATCACACTCCATGCCTATTCTCTTAGCAGGGCAAGTTGCCAGAAGACCCTGGAGAAGTAACATAGAAGCCCAGCTTCTAGAATCAGAATGCTTGGGTCCAAATCCTGTGCTACGTCTTGTGAGATCACCTTATATAAATTAAAATAGGATTAATAATACTTATCTTCATATAGATGTTATGAAGATTAAATGAGTTAAAATATAAAAATATATAGAACAGTGTCTGGCACAAAGTACATGCTTTATGCATGTCAGCTACTAGTGTTGCTTTTGCTGTTTTTAATCTATTTAATTCTCCAAGGCTTTGTTTTTGTGAAATAATAACCTTTCAAATTTCTCAGACTATATACATCAGCCAGTCAATGGAGTTGAAATCTAATTCAAGAAGCAATTATTAGGCCAGGTGCAGTGGCTCATACCTGTAATCCTAGCACTCTGGGAGGCGGAGGCAGGTGGATTGCTTGTCCTTGGGAGTTCAAGACCAGCCTAAGTAAGAGGGAGAGTCTGTTTCTACTAAAAATAGAAAAACTGAGGCAAGGGGATCTCTTGAGCCCAAGAGTTGGAGGTTGCTGTGAGCCAAGACGATGCCATAGCTCTCCATCCAGTGTGACAGAGTGAGACTCTGTTTCAAAAAAAAAGAGAGAGAGAGAGAGTTACTAACTGCCTACCTATATTAAATGCTGTGGGGGGCATTGATCAAAAAGATATCTTCCCCTTTCTCCAGAAGTTTACAAACTGGTAGGAGAGATAAGTTATGGTTAGGGGCAACTATTAAATATTACACAGAGGGTGGCACTTGTGGCTCAAAAGGGTAGGGTGCTGATCCCATATGCTGGAGGTGGCAGGTTCAAACCCAGCCCTGGCCAAAAAGGCAAAAATAAGTAAATAAAATATATATTATAAATATATTATATATTATTATATAAATAAATATTACACAGAGCAAAATATTACTATCTTTTTTATAACACATAAAAGGTAGCTTGGAAGTTCAGATGAAGAAGGTAGGCATTTCTAGGTGAAGTGAATAAAAGAGTTGAGGAAACGTTCATGGTACTTAAAGAAGGGTCTGTGGAAAACCTTGATGGGGATGCCTTAGAATGAGAGAGAGAGAGAGAGTACAGGTAAGGACACACCAGGGAGCTACCGTTGAAGCCAAGGAAAGCAAGGTGAGCTAAATCTGAGGTAGAGGAGTTAAAGTTGGTGTAAACATTTTGGTAATAGTTCTGGAGAGGATAGTGATACCATTAAAGAGGATGGGAGACAGATCCAAGTTTTTGAGAGACAAGTTCTACTTTGGATCTCCTGAATTTGAGATATAAACAGGAGCCTAGTTATGGTTTTGCCATTCTTGGAGGACTCCCTAAAATCTGGTTTAAATCTGGAAAGTCGGAGACTAGGACAGCATGTTCTTTTCAGATGTGAACTTGCAGGGCCCCTACAGCTGAAGGCTTACTATGTGCAGGAACTTCCTCCTAACTCTCTGCCCAATGTGTGAGATTGTAACACCCGTTAGGCTTCATTAGCTTTTGAAATAGAGATAACTGATTATTAGCTTTAAAAAAATCTGTACTTAGTTGTTTCATTAAGCAGTGTTGCCAGAGTACAAATAGGAGAAATACCCATCATTCTCTCCTATCCCGGATGTGCTTTGAGTCATCTGGCTTGGTTGTTTTACCTCAACAGAAAAAGGCTTGTAAGTGAAGAGGAAGAAGAAGAAAAAGGTATGTTAGTGGTAAAATATTTTCTAGTCTAGAAAAATGCATTGCTTAGTGAAATAGCTATAATTTTAGATACAAAAGAGAAGACTTTACAAACAACCAATACTTCCTAAACCACGTGAGGAGCTGTTTCACTCACTATAATTACAGTGGTAAACATTTGCTAATAAAGTGTAGAGTATCTAGAAAGCTTTTCCTGCTGAATAGTGGTCCTCATTATGATATTTTCTTTGAGTTCAGAATTGGTGTTTCTTAGTCTTAGGAGGAGGACTCAGTGTTGCAGGAGGTTTTGAGCAAGAGGCGAGACTCTGGTACTTTGTGGATTGTTATCGCTCTGCAAGACCCTTCGCAACTTCCTCTCACCACCCGCAGCAGAATACGGAAACCCTGCTGTATCAGGCCACTTCTGCAATTGCAGACAGTCACAATTCTAGGGGATCCTTTTTCACACTACACTTTCTGTTTTTAAGACTTTCCTTGCATTTTAAAATGTGTCTTTTGAGGTGGAATATTGGACTGACCCTTCATCTCTCCTTTCTCTTTGGTGCCTTGCAGTGCTGCAGTTGAAGCTCCAGCAGCGCCGGACCCGGGAAGAGCTGGTGAGCCAAGGGATCATGCCGCGTAAGTGCCTCTCTCTTTCAGCATTTGATCAAGTTGCTTTTAGGACATGGTTATGTGTACCCAGTGTGCCATGGGAAACATCTACCGTAAAATAAGGACTACAGGTTTTGTTACCTTCTTTTCTTTTCTATACTTTTCCAAGTTCATGGGCTCTAAATTGCTACATAGTTAAGGTAACTAACTGATCAAGTTCGATGAAACAAACAGCATTAGCTTTGAAGTTTGCCATTGAATCATCCTTAGCTATTGAACTGCATCTTTAAAAAGAGTGCCACGCCCTGTACGCTTCCCTTTATAGGAGGGGCAGATTTTGAGCTGGGGGTGCCGTATCGTGAGGAGGAACCCACTTCTTGTATGTGCTTTGCCTCTGTTTTCAGGTTTTTAGGAAGAGAAACCTCTTTTCTATCTGGTATTTTGAATCAACCACAGTTTTCTTTAGAATGAGGTCCTCAGATACTGTAAGGCTGGCTAATGGAGTAGTTCATGGTTCTGGGCGTAGGGAGTACAGAACTGTAACCCTTAGGGGAGAAATGAAAGCAAACCTTGGAATCTGAGAGAAGTAAGAAAATTTGCTTTTAATGCTAACAGTTTTAAAAAGGAAGTAGAAGCTAGAGCCAGCAAGATAATTGCTCTTTCTGACATTTCTTTTTTAAGTCATAAGCAGAGAACATAGGCTTTCGCTCTTTTCTGTTTGTACCGTATGTTATGACCACTAGACTATGTGCTAATGAAGTTCAAAAAAAGTCTTATAACAACTTCTGGCTTTGTAGTGGGAGAACTTATGTTTTCCACCTTAACTCAGTACTTGCTGACCTGCTGCCACCATGTTTTCTTTTCATTCACTCATCATTCACAATGTTTGATTACCTGATATATGCCAGTTGATGTTTATATTTAGAAGAGCAAGACTGGTCATAAACAAGGAGACAAACAAACAAGATAATTTTGGAGCATAGTAAGTGCTGTTAAGTAAATGAACTAGTTGGTATGTTAATAAGTAATAGGAATAAGATGGGATCACTTGGATAAGAAAGTAAGGAAGGTGCCTGAAGAGGAAATCTTTGAGCTGAGATCTAAAGGATGAGATGGAGCAGCCATTCAGAAAGCTAGAAGAAGGCTCAGGGATAAGAAAAAGCAAGTGTAAGTGCCTGGTGCAGGCAAGAGCTTGCACAGGTTTAAAGAGCATCACGGAAGCAGTGTGACTGGGGCGTGCTGGAGGGGGCAGTAGGGGAAAGTAAAGATGGGAGAGGTGGGCAGGGCCAGAGCCAAAGCCTTGTCACCCATGCGGAAGAGGTGGATTTGTCATTGTTTTTACCTTTTTTTTTTTTAAACTAAAAAATAAGGTCACACAGCAGCAGAGTGCTTTTGGATGTTTTCACTGCTTTTTAACAGATGGCTTTTACTGTGTTGCCCAGGCTGAACGTAACTCCTGGGCTCTAGTGATCTTGCTATCTTAGCCTACTCAGTGGCTGGAACCCTAGGTGTACACCACTGTGCCTGGTTGGATTTGTTTTTTAAGTACAATAGAAAGCCATTGAAGGCTTTTAAACACGTGAGGAGGGGATTTGATTTATGTCATGGTAATCCATGGGCAAGAGAACCATTTAACAAGACTAGGGAATCTTGGGTCTGTTTCTATCTTAAGCCTCAGCTGGGAGCTTAAGTCTTAATATTTTTGTTTAGGGCACTGAACTATTTACCTACATTATGCTATCTTTTTCTGTGGCCCTCCAATGAATGACTTTCCACCTCCAACCCTTAGGGGGTCAGGTGGCTTTTATAGTGGCTCAGTAATGTGATCAGGTAGAGTGCTGTGCTTTAAAAAACACTCAGATCCGCCATTCCACACCTTACACCTGTAGAGACACCCAGTGTCTCATCTACTTGTCCCTTTCACCAAGGACATCATGTATTTCATGTCTCCTTTGTGCCCAGGGAAGTCCTAGGTTAAAGAAATAAGAGACAGGGTACTTGCTCTCAAGACTTTGAACAGCAAAAGTTGGGGTAGCCAAAATTTCCCCATACACAAGATAAAGAGCAATTCAGTGCTGATCCATGGGATGCTGACTGTAATGACAGTACTAGTTCTGAGAGCATAATGTTACTTTCCAGGATTTGTAATGTGTTTAGGATATAAAAGCCACGCACAGGGTGAGTGTCCTTCACCCCTTTTCCTGTCTTTTATTCATATAGGGACTAGTGGAGATGGTCAGTTTCATAGGATTTATCAATTACAGTCTCCTTGCTTAGCATTTTTTTATAGTATTCCACGTTGCTAAGACCAATGATGCTCCACTCATTGCAGTTTCTGCTTATACATATATGCTTGTATTTCCACAACCTCCTTGAAAAAATATCTTATGTATATTTCTGTCCTGAGTCCCTGGCACTGAGTTAAAGAAGACAGCCAATTGCAAAGTGCGCTGTATGCTTGTGTATATGAACAGAAAGACAGAAGCAGATACCAGTCTGCTATAAACCTGTTGGACTTTTGAGCACAGGATTTGAAATGCTTCCATTCTGTCAGGAGCCTAGGTTCTAAAATTGTTCTGAATATCTAATTGTATACTTTGAATTGTTCTCTGTATTTGTGAAGTGAGAATAATTAGCTCTGCTATAGGAATAGAAATGACCTGCTTCTATGAGAATACTGCATTTTCCCATCTACCAAGAGCCACCCACCTTCAGCTGTGGGCACAGTTTTGTTACTCTGTTTTTCTAGTGAAGGTAATATATTGTAAACTCTTAGATTATGAGAGATTGTTAAGGCCTGGGAGTAGATTCAAGTATGAATTTGCCATTCATCCATGTACCTGTTGATACCTGAGTGAGTGAGGCTAACTTTATTTTTTTTTGGCTGGGGCTGGGTTTGAACCTGCCACCTCCAGTATAGGGGCCGGCACCCTACTCCTTTCAGCCACAGGCGACGCCCAAGGCTAATTTTTTTTTTTTTTTTGCCAGCACCCTCACAGGTGCAGAACACTCCCGCATCACCACCTAATGTCCCTTCGCTCCCATTGTCCTCTCCAACATTCTCTGCCTCCCTAACAACCCCTCACCCTGCTGTCTTCTACCAGCCTCATTCTTCAGCTTCCACTCCATGTCTTTTAAAGAAAATGTGAGCAGTACTGGGGAAAAATCATAAATAGTCAGCATATTTGGAGATCAGAAAAAGTTACATCTCGTTTGAAGTGCTTCTGTTCCCTTTCTATTGGCCTGAGGAGTTTCTAAAAGGAATCCTTATTATCTAAGTTTGTTGTACAACTTAAGAGGTAGACAGGGCCATCAAGCTAGGGCAAAGGACAAGAGTCATGGCTGTGCTTTGTCTCATCATCTCTAGTTTGTACCTTTTATCAAATTCTCATTTCAGTCTCTTTTAACTCAGGGCAGGTGAGAACCCATCCACCTTATTTCCCAGAGTGCTCACATGCAGTTCTTGAGTAGGACTGGCCGCCAGTTCTAACACTGTACCTGTAGGGCATCACGTGCTTCTGTGGCTCCCTCCCCTTCAGGTTTGGTCACCTTTCTGTGTATTATCCAGAGTTGCCATATGAACTTTCCCTAAAGTTTAGAGGATTAAAGAATCCCCAAGTTCCCACATAGCTTTCTCTTCACTGCTCCATATGCTCTGTTCATAACATCTCAACTGTAGGGTATAGAAATTGAATACAATCATTTCTCAGTATTGTTTTTTCTTAACTTTTTTTATTATTTCAAAATATTATGGGGGTATAAATGTTTTTAATTACATGAATTGCTTTTGTTGTGTGCTTTAAAAATATTTATTTTTAATAAATAGTTTCACTATGTCGCCTTTGATAGAGTGCCGTGGCATCACAGCTCAAAGCTACCTCAAACTCTTGGACTTAAACAATTCTCTTGCCTCAGCCTCCCAAGTAGCTGGGACTACAGGTGCCAGCCACAACACCCAGTTACTTTTTTGTTGTAGTTGTCATTGTTATTTAGTAGGCCAGGGCTGGGTTCAAATCCGCCAGCTCCGGTGTGTGTGGCCAGCACCCTGACCGCTGAGCCACGAGTGACAGGCCTGCTTTTGTTATGTTTGAGTCAGGGTTGTAAGAGTGTCCATCACCCAGATAGTGTCCATTGTACCTGTTAGGTAAGTTTTCTAGTATCCTTTATTATTCTCAGTATGTAAACAAATGTCTCAAACTTAACACCACTTAAACTCTACTGCAGAGCCTCACGTAGTCGGTTACTAATGACATCTGAAGCTCTGCATGTCTTGAGTGTGAGGGAAGATGGCACAGATAGGGAGCTGGTCTTCAAATCTAAGGATTAAGACTAGGAATGTGGCCATTTCCAGGATAGTGACTTGCAGAGGAGAATCGCAGAGAAGGATCATGGATGGTACACTCTGTTCTCAAACAAAGCTGCCCCTGCTTCCTCCCCGGCTTTTCTCTTTGACATTTAAAGGTGTACAAGGTCATAAGGTTAAGATGAAAATTAAGAAAAATGTTCTGGCAGTGAGAGCTGTTGGAGGGTAATAACCTTTTAAAGGAAAACATGGAGGTTCTCCTGACTCAGACAAATGAGGGAAAAAGTCTCCTGTGATCTTTCTGGAGTGAGAGAAGGAACTTGTTTGTCTTTGCCTTCTCAGCCTTCTGTTAATCCATTGAGAATCCTTGACAGTAGCATAGAGCAGCATGGTTCTAATGGTATAGTTAACCGTCACGTCATTTATTTATTTATTTTCCCATGTGCAAGCAGTAGGAAAACCCAGATACCTTGGCAAGCACAGAAGAAATAATTAGTCTGTGTCTTCTTGAGTGAGCTTGTGTTTTCATTATAAATGATATTTGTGTGTGCTTGGAGCAGAGTGAAAAAATTTCTTCTTAACTGTGACAATAGGTTATTTAATGCTTGGAAGTGTCAGCATTGATCCCTATAATCCATCCCTTTTCCTCTGAAGCTAAAATTCTTAATAATGTTTTTGTTATTCGTGACTTGAGAATCATTACTTACATTATTCTTCATTAAAG